AGATGATGAAGAACGAATGAGCCACTGGTCTCAACTCGGTCTTCTATAGTCAATACTCGACCCCTTAGAGGCCATGGCTCGATGACCTGGTCTAGCCCCAAGGCTTCATCGAGTAGGCTCGAAGATCTCTGGTTCATGATATTTGGGAAATTTTGATTTTTAGAGGGATACACGTTAGGGTTTGTAGGGTTTTTGAAAAGAACTCGCAAAATAAACCGTGGGATTGAATTTTCTAGGCAATTACTTGGGCCTTCATAAAGTTTTCATTTGGGTTCTAAAATTAATACTTGGGTAAACTACGCATTTAGTGATTAAATTATTTGTTTTAATTTGTTTTAAAACTTAAACTTTTAATTTTTTTTTTAAAATTATACTTAATATCTAATTTTATTTCAATTTAGTACCCACCGTTAAAAATTTAACGGACGGACTGACAGGACATACCTCTAGTGGATGGACGACTAACTAGATCGGTAAACCACGAGAAAATGACGAATCGACCAACATAGTCCAATTTCATGCACATCATACTAATAATCATGAAAATAAAGAAAATATCTTAATTTCATACTAATAAGATCGTTGTATTGTATATCAGAATAGATAAAATACCATAAATATATCATTAAATTTATAGTCTTTTCAATTTCATCACATATATATATATATATATATATATTATGCACACTCTAAATAATTCTATCATATGTTTTATGGATCTCTTCTTAATACAAAATGAGTGAACGGCTAAAAGGTCTAAGCCCTTTAAGTGCTAGTATTTGCTGCTCCCGGAGACTCCCCCAGCTCCGCCACCGCCTTGAATCGAAACCAGGGATCTATAAGATGAGCAGTTGCTTATCAGATGGAAATCCAAAAACAAAACGATAACGGTTATATCATCGTGAAAATGTCTTCACACTCCGCGGTCGATCTTTTTCAAGTCCGAGTATCGCATTTCTCTCTTCTTCGCTGCTTCATGAAGCGCGGCTTCTACGAGTCTCCTTGCAATACCCTGCTGCGTAAACATCTCGTATAAGTTCATCCATAAATGTCATCAAAACAAAGATGAGTTCTAAGTTCAACACGAAATCGATATGTACTTCATGTTCATGGAAGAAAACGAACAAAAACGAGTTCAGTAAGGACTGTAAGAAACCATTCTCAGTTGCATGCATTAAACATGTAGTTGACATGCAAAGAAGACAACCCTATTCAACCAATAATATAGTCGGAAAAATAACCCGAAACTGACCGGATTTTGACCCAATCTGACCCTTACAGACAATTTTCTTCATTTTGTAGTTGAAATGCAAAGAGGAGACTCACACCAAATCCAAGTAACATAGGTTTAAAAACATCGAAATAAAAATCATGGAAAGAAAACTAACATTACGTGGACTCGTGGTCACGATGTCAACGATCTCTTGATTGCTAAGGTGTTCCCTTACACCATCCGATGCGAATATAAGAAACTAATCTTGAGGACGGATTCTCTGTACCGATATTGCCGGCTCAGCTTGTAACGATCTCAGGATGTAACGATCGTAACTCCTCCCGAACAGATTCAAAACTTGCATTGTGCTCGGATCACAACTGAACTGCTTTGACCTCATCAAAGGCTTTCTCCAGTCTGCCTAAAACAACTCGAGAATCTCCAGTATTTGCAATATGTAGCGATCCACTACAAACTATTCCTACAAGCAACACGAACCAACAGAAGCGAGTTGCAGCTTAATTTCCCACTGCTGTCTGACAAGAGCAAAAAATTCTTCTTCGGTAGCTAAAAAGGCTTTGTTGATTACATCGGCTGACATTCCATGATTCTCGGTCGTAACTTTCGAGATAATGCTCTGGAAAAAATTAATTCACGAGATAAAGTACTCCCAAGATTAATTGCTCAAATAAGATGAAATTCACAGTGTTGGTCGTAGGTCGCCATGCCTTTCGGGCGACCTACTAGGTCGCCATGTCTTCCCGGCGAGTTACAAGAGATTGCATGTGCCATGCACGTCCCAACACGCTGGGCATCCGAGGCCATCCGACCGAGGCCATCCGAGAGCATCCGAGGCCATCCGACCGAGGCCATCCGAACGAGTTATGCGAGGGCAACCGAGCGAGCTATGCGAGGGAATCCGAGGGAAGCCGAGGGAGGGTAGGTCGCCCGGAGGGCATGGCGATCTATGTGTTGGGACGTGCATGTGCCATGCAACACGTTCATTCTCTCTGTTTGAGCAAGGGTAGGTCGCCCGGAGTGCATGGCGACCTACGGCCAACACTGTGGATTTCACCCTATTTGAGCAATTAATTTTGGGAGTGCATTAGCTCGTGAATTAATTTCTTTCAGAACATTATCTCGAAAGTTTTGCTGGTTTCGGACCTATGTGACCATCATAAATTCCAACAAATATCCCATAAGGACCCGATTCAAACGAGCTGATCGGACCAGATTCAAGTTGGCTATGGTCTTCCAAAAGATAATTTGCTTGAACTACTGCCATCGAAAACTCACCTGCGACATGTTGTCCCAAGTCTTCATACCAAAACAACCCATCAACCCAACCGCATCTCCACTAGAATTTTCACCCTCGACTGAAGGCTTCAGCAAGGTGATACAATTCGCATTAAGGTTGTTGATACCATAACTTACATGTTCTTAACCGAATATGTGGCTTCAAAAAGAATCCGATAAAGTGTTCTAAGTGAAGCTCAGTCGGATCTTATCTTCGATGGATGGGATGTTCTATCTTACTAATTTACCGAACGCTATAGGACTTATCGACACTTTTTACTATGATTCAATCTTTAACACTTGGGGAGGCAATAAGCATTCTCCAAGTACCTAATTCAAGTTTGAACAACACGAGCCTTGCAAAAACGAATTCCTGGAAAAAGAGCAGGATTCTGGGTCAGCTCGGATTCGACTAAATGTTCGCAAAACAGAAGTTTTAGAAATCAAACAAACATGGATAAATTCAGACAACAAAAATTTTCACAGTTGCAATAAACATTATCTATAATCCTAATCTGAGTTTGATCTACAGCTAGCTCTTGTGAAGACAGATTCCTGGAGAGAGAGAGCTGGATTCGGCATCAGCTCGGATTCGACTCAATTTCCGGAAAGCAGAAGTTTCAGAAATCAAGCATAATCAATAAATTCAGACAACATACTAAAACCCTAACCTGAGTTTGACCTACAGCTAGGCCTTGAGAAGATAGATTCATGGGAAAAGAGCTGGATTCGGCATCAGCTCGGATTCAACTCAATTTCCAGAAAATATAAGTTTCAGAAATCAAACATACAACGATAAATTCAAACAACATTAATCTACAAAGTTGCAATAAAAAATAAATTACAGAGCATTTGGTTTAATCCTAGAACCAGAAACATTCTTGACTAACACTTAGACCCAAGTTCGAGTAACAGTACTCGTTTTGGATACATATCCGTGTCTGTCTAACACTTAGACCCGAGTTCAAGTAACATAGATTCTTGATAAACCTTAAAGACAGGCATTATTTTAAAAAAATCACTCAAACTCACAAGTGAATGATGGATATGAATGTGTTTGATACGAGTATATCTACACATGACCTATTGTACTCGAACTCATAGTGAATGTTGGATACGAATGTGTTCGATACGAGTATATATACACATGACCTATTTGACTCAAACCCATAAGTGAATGATGGATATGAATGTTTTCGATACGAGTATATCTACACATGACCTATTGTACTCGAACTCATAGTGAATGTTGAATACGAATGTGTTCGATACGAGTATATCTACACATGACCTATTGTATTCGAACTCATAGTGAATGTTGGATACGAATATGTTCGATACGAGAATATCTACACATGACCTATTGTACTCGAACTCATAGTGAATGCTATATACAAATGTATTCGATACATCTACACATGACCTGTTATTGTACTCAAACTCATAGTAAATGTTGGATACGGATGTGTTCGATACGAGTATATCTACACATGACCTATTGTACTCGAACTCATAGTGAATATTGGATACGAATGTGTTTGATTCAAGTATATCCACATATGACCTATTTTACTCAAACTCATAAGTGAATGTTAGGTACGAATGTGTTTGATACATCTACTCAACCTTCAACCTACAATATTTTAGGAAAATATTGTAGGCGACTTTTACTCGTCTAGCTTTCTCCATTTTTAGCAAAATCAAACTTCCCCTTACAATTAGGCTAAAAAAATAGAGTTAATTATTACTTTTTTTATAAATACGTTGTGTGTACCATATATGTATCTAATTTTTTTTAACTATTTGATAATAAATATTTATATTATTAATATATATGATTTTTGAACGTGAAACGTTGATGTCTCAATCAATAGATTAACGTTTAATTTAAACAATCATCAATGTTTAACGGAAATATATGTATAACCTAAAAATTATTTTATAATTTTTAATAACTGAAGAATTTAATAAAATAATATTTATAATTGAAAGACTATTTTTTATAATTTTTAAAAAGTTTAACAAAATGATATCTTATTAGAAGATTGTTATATAAACTTTAAATAATTAAGAAACTCACAAATAACAATTAATAATTAATAAATTCTATAAAATAACATCTTATAATTGAGAAATATTTATATACTTGATCTAATTAATTTAAATTCTTATTTTTCACCTAATATAAAATATTCATTTTTGTAGTAATAATTCAGTTATAAAATACACTTTTGTCTAGACAATATATAAAAGAAATTATTTATTGACTTGATATAAAAGTAAATATACTTTTAAATATTTTAGTTAAATGAAACGTATCACGCTCAAATAATTTTAAAATTTTTACTTTTTAAAGAATATAATTTTTTTAAATTTTATAAAAACAACACGTGCCAAAGATAACTAAAGTCGGAAACGTTAGATACCTAAATTAATAAAGATAATTTAGACATCTTAATGAAAAAATAATTTAGACACTTATTTTAGAAATAAGTTTAATAAATCTTAAAAGTTCTTAATTTCTCATAACACAACTAATCCATCAAAATATATATTAAGATCTCAAAAGTTCTAGCAAACACAGATTGTAACCAAGTCCTACCATTCAAACCACCGCAGTTTAATTCGACTCGCTGCGTCTTGGAGAAGCATGATTATCGTCGTCTTCATCATCGTAAACCGGGCTTCGGTCCTCCCTAGGGGGCGGGCTGGGGCCGCGGCTTTGGCCGTTTTCCTTTGTGGAGCCCCTATAAGGCCTGTCCTCGGCATCAGCTTCACGGTCTGGAGTTCTGCTCCTTCCCCTGGGACTCGCACTGTAATCTGAACCATTGGCATGTCTGCCATCCCTTGGGGATGGGCTACGCCTCTCCTGTGGGCTTCTTTCATCAAGCGGTGGACTCTGCTTCCTCCCTCGGGCTGGGGAGGGGCTTCTTTCACCACGCGCTGGACTCTGCTTTATCCCTCGGGTTGGGGACGGAGACCGCCTATGGCGCTTGGGACTCCTTGATCTTCTATCATCGCGCTCGAAACTCCTTTCTCGCTTCACAGGTGATCTTGACCTACTGTTGAAGGTCGAGTGATTCAACACAAAAAAGAATGAGCCCGACAGCTTACAAGACCAAAACGATTTGCGTATCTCAATCAGAATCTTGACGCAGGGAAAGCTAAATACAAACCTGTCACTACGGCCCCGGCTGTAACTGCGGCTTCTGCTTCGACCACGTTGGGGACTAGGTGAGCGCGAGTAACTACGCGGTCTACGGCTGCAACGATAAAATAAATAAAATTGCCTCCCAAGTACACAAATAGAAGTTTTTCAAATGATAGAAATATCACTCCTATTTGCAGCAAACTGGTCAGAACAACAAAAGGATAGGATTTTGAAGGGGAAAATGACCTCAGCTTCTTTGGACTATTTTGACAATCTCTTTCTATGTGGCCTCGTTCACCACAGCGATAGCACTTATTCTTCCAATCCCCGGCTTTGCAATCACGAGCCCAATGACCATCAATTCCACAATTGAAGCAGCGGCCAGAGCCAGGAGCAGGACCTCTTCCAGCATGATCACGAGATCCACCAGGGCCGCGGGGCACCTACGTTGCAATTCGAATCAGATTCAATGTTCAAACACTAATGAGTCAAGTCTAGGACAACAATGAGAGAGAGGAATACCATTCCATATTCGAGGCAAGTTGAACACTTTTGTTCCCACCAGCAATCATCTTATACTTTAGTTTCTAATAAAGAGACCGAGTGGCAACAATGATATTCTAATTAAAAGGCTTTTAATCTCTTTCTTCCCAGCAGTAGCTACTTAAACTTATTAGTTAATTTAAACATCAAACTCATGATCATAAAGCATATCCATGGGAATATCAGTTTATTACCAAACCACAAGCATCTTATATTTTGCTGCTTTAATTATTTATATCTATAGGTCTACATTGTCCGATTTCAGAAATCCACATCAGCATTTAGACATATTACTAGCACCCTAAGCAGCAACAGAGCTGAACATGCAAACTTTTATGTGTCACACAATCCAAAAATCAGAATGCATTAGGAAAATGAATACTTAAAAACATTAACCAAATAATATTAAATTTCTCATTCAGTTTAATATAGCATCCACTGCCTTCTAGAAAACTTATGGCAGTGAGGTTATCATAAAACTTACTCCCTTGGCAAATTCCACAACGATACGGCTTCCATCTAGGTCTCGACCATTCAATGAATATCTTGCATCATCAGCGTCTCTAGGGTCACTGAATTCCTGTTATCAAGGAGGCAGACAAAAACACACAAAACGAACAAAGAAAAGATCCAAAGAAAAAGATCATATTTTCAATATATGGTGAAGAAATTATAGATAACAAAGAAGAGTTTTTTCAGTTTATATTGGAAGAGATTTGAAACACATACGACGAATGCGTAGTCTCGCTTCATATCCACATCACGTACTCTGCGCAAACGGGTGCCACAAACAGTAAGGCCATCATGACACAATTATCAAGGGTTGATAGTTCGCCCCTCACAGATGAACGAAAAACACCCACTTTTGAGATTGTTGCCATTTCGATAAAAACACGCTATACTATAGAAAGACTCGCCAAATCCACCAAGGTCACCCTCTCACCATAGACCTCCAGATTATGGCAAAAGCCAAGGGACCTTCAACAAGATCATTCGAGTTAAACCAGACCGACTCGTGGAGGGTTGCAACATTCTCACTCATATTCTAATAGAACCAGGGTCATGCTCTACATTAAGGGCTTTGGCAATGAGACTATTTTCTCCTACGTCATTGTCACTACACCCTGAACCTATCCTAATGGCCTTCAATGCAAAAGAATAGAACCATGAATACTCAAACTAAGGGGGGAAATTGAACAAGTACGCCAAATGAAACACAGCTTTTAAACCAGTCTAATAAGTAGGATAAAATTACGAACTCTTCAACATAGCAAAAAGATTTCGTTACCTCCCATATCGGCTAAACATGTCCTCTAGATCACGTGATCTTGTCCTTGAGGACAAGTGACCGACATAAAGGCGAGTGCCACCACGGCGATCATCATACCTAGGCATTTTTTTCCTTTCCCTGCATTAACATTTCCCATTAGAACCCCAAGGGGAAAAAGGCACGCAAATTTGCATGATAAAACACTCCAATCGTCATTAATGACATCAACAATCTACTTTAAGCTCAAATCACCATAAAGCTCACGCTTTTGCTTCCATCATAGAACAGATAATACAAATAGGTTTTCAATTTAACGGACAACTAAAATGTAATAAAAACTCTAACAGGAACCTTCTATATATTAATAAAATCATGTATAACCAATTGCACACAAAATTCAAGTAAGGAAAGCTAACAATCAAACAATATCTAAACATACCCATAGTTCATGTTATCTCTTATTATGGATACCATAAATACACAAGGAAAATAAATAAATATAAGCTTCAGAAGGAACAAATCTGAGGAAGGGGATTAATTTTTCACCTCTCAATCCTAACAGGCTAAAGCATCAAATCCTTACATATTTAAATTACTATTAAAGTCACAAGAAAAAATCTATTAAAAAGCGGAAATTTAAATTTTAAAAATTACGACCTCAACAAATTTTCAGATCTATAAAAATCAAGAATTTAGAGACGTAAGAGCATGAGAATTCAAAAATAAAGGGAAATTAAGAGCGAAAGAATTACAGAATTAAAATTTAAACACACAAAAACACAACAAGAAGAAGAAGCTCACGATTAAATTTCAGAAGAGAGAGGCGAAGAAGGAGAAGATGAAAAACCCTAGACTTTTTCGAAGAGAACGAGACAGCTTAACTAAACGATGCGTTTTCTTTTCTTGATTTATAGGGGCCTTAAGCCCCAAGGATAAGGATCATTCAACGCTCAACAATCAGAGGACACGTAGTTACAAAAAGACCCCTGCCCTGAATGACAATTACTGGCTTGAGGAAAAAAGGCTTAATGATAAAATTAACCCTAAATGTTTGTCTAAATGATTTATCTTAGCCCCTATTTATTATAAATATTTTAATCAGATATTTTAATTCTTATCAAAATAAATATTATTTGATAAAAATTATTAATTAACTAACTAATGTTTTTGATATATGATTACTAATGTTGTATTTTCACATGCTATATCATTACGATGATTGTTATTTAACATATTATTAATAAAATATATATAAAATTATCATGTCAATAACATATATTCAATTTTAGTTCGCTGACAAAGCTTTCTATTTAATATGAGATACTTTAACTAAAATTAAATATTAAGGGTTAAAATGTTAAAATAGAATAGGTATTTATATCATATAGTCAGAAGCTTGAATATTATATGTTAATTTAAATTTTATATCAATTTTTTTTATAAAAAGTAGTTAATTTTATTTTTAAAAAATAAGAAATATCTAGAATTATAATTAAGGGCATTTTTCTTTAACCATTAACACAAAAAACTAGACACAGAGATCACACAATGACAAAAAGGAAAAGGTTAAAAAATTTGACAAAAAACTCGAACAAATTTGACAGCATCAGCGAATAAACTACAAAAGAGAATGAAACTATTGAAAAATCACCAACAAACCGTAAATCAAAGTCAAACAACGTGAGAAAAATGTTCAAGAACGCAAATCGTGTATCCAAATCAATATGAGGGTCCAAAGCACGGAAGATCAACATGATAACAAATAAACGTCATCATTATTATTTGTGACGAAGTCAAATCCAATCATTAGAAAAAAAGATAAACGAAAACATCAATCAAACAACAAAAAACATACCAAAAGACTGAGAAAAACATGTTATAAAAGTATAATATAATGTATTATAAAGACAGAATTATTAAAAAATTAAAATTAAAATTAAATAGATTAAATTTTAAACACTTAGAATACGTTTTGTTCTCAAAACATAAGATTATCAATGCAAATAGAATTCTCATCTTATTTGGTTTATTTGACTACAATATAAGATTGACATGATTGGTTAAAAATGTAAATTTAATAGTCTAGACTATACATGCATAAACGTGTTTAAAATCTAAATCATATATTTTAAATATGTTCCACGATATATTGGAAGCGACATTTAATTTTCAAACAAATTGTTATGATAAAACGCACATAAATTGAAGCGGTATCAGTAGTCGTAAAGCTAATTAGAATATATTCACAACCAGAACCGGATTTAGCCAAAACCATTGATGATACGATACTCAAATTCGACCCGAGTGTTCGATAAACAGAACTCGAAATATTCACAACGATGATCGGAGGAAAGAAAAGGGTTTCGATGATGTTCTTAATACCAACAATTGATATGATTTGAGAAAATCCAAGCTCTTGCTGATCAACTCGGCTAAAGAGAATCATCAAAAATCATTCTCAGAGAAATTAACCGCAAGGTCCCAGTAATGGCCTACTCCAGCATCCGCAAATACCTTTCTCGCAGCTGCTTCGGTGATGCACTCGTGGACAGAGAACCTGCTGAAACTTGATTTGGCGACGCTACCTTGCCAAACTAACACGCACTTGTTAGGCGGTTTCTCTTCGTCTTCATCGTCATCTCCCTCTTCGTTCTCGTTTACAGCTTCAGCCCAATTGATTCGTCGAAGTATAAGCTTCCCGTACCTCTTAATGGATTTGCTTCCACCTTCCACGACTACAACACTAATGCCCTCGGAGATCACGGCACAACCAGTCAAACGGTTTTCTTGGGCATTAACATCAACTTTGAAGCAGGTCTTGGGATGTGAGAGGTCATTGATCCTGTAAACCGAAACGATCGTCTCCATCGTATTTGGGTCGTCAAAAAGCTTTCTCTCTTTCTTTTCACGGCGCTCAGCAGGGGTAAGCTTGCGAGCAATGTTTCTATCGACATGAGCCTGTTCCCGCTCAGCAGCAGCACTTCGGATTTCCATTTCAAGCTTAGTTGGATCCTGGGTAGCTTCAGAGCCTAGAACTTTCATTAAATTGCTCAACTTCACTTTCGGCTTGGGAGGTTCTATCAGGCCTTGTCTGATCATCTCCTGTTTATCCTTTTCCCGGGCCAGACGTCGCTGAGTCCGAAGCTTCTTTTGCTCCTTCTTGGTTAGTTTCAGGGGCTGAGGCGGTGGAGGAGCTGGCTCAGCAGGAGGCTCAATCGGACGAGGATGCTCAACATAAATCGTGATCTTCTCTTTCTTCAGTTTATCTTCACTTAGCAAACCATCATTAATGTTATCGTAGGAGCCCAAAACCAGAATAGGCAAATCCCTGAAATATACCAAAAACAATAAGAAAAAGGTAATGTAAAAGAATGAAATAACCTAGCAGTTGTAATTTATGTTGATACAACTATAAATAAGGTACAAGGACCCATAAAATAAAAAGGAAAAACTTTAAAAAAAAATACCTGTACCCAACACCTGTACCCGAATCCGAGTAACATAGATTGTAATGCTTCCTTTAGATTTTTTAATATGGAAATTGCATATGATGCCAAAAGTAAATGCAAAATTTTTTGGCTTTAAACATGGTGAAGGGGTACACCTTAACTCTCAGCTTGAATATGATAACATAATCAAGAAGGCAAGAGTTCTGAACATCGGTTTACAGCTTAAGCAGAAAGTACAACAAAAATAACCATTACAAAGAAAGCAATAAATATATCTTCCTCACACATAATACCCAAACGAAGGATTTTTTGGTTTAATTTGATGACATGTTAAATCAAACAAGGTCTCCTAAGTGATTGAATTGATTAGAGGTATGTGAACAATGTTATTTGATAATGAGAGGAATATCAACTTACCACCACTCTATTTCAGGAATCGGGTCTTTTAGTTTCTCCTTCGTTATAATTCTTTCCGACACCTCAATTAAATTGGGATTTATATCAGCCTTCGCCTTTGCCAATTGTGCTTGCTTTGCTTTTAGTTCTTTTGCTTTCGCTTCTCCAAATTGACTCTGTAATAAATAGACAATAATCACAAAACTAGAAAAACTGATGGAATAATCAAAGTAATAAAAACAAAATAATACTTTCAATTTGATGATCTCTGCATCTTTTGACCATTTTCCTTCCTCTACAAACTGAAAAGTCATCCTTTTTGGTCTAAGTAGCTTATTCTTATCGATTCCCATCCGCGCATCAAAATGTGGATTTGCTTCCGGATCCACCTCCAGCTCAGGTTTAAGGATCTGGAATGCATCTTTCTTTTGCTTGTTAATGTTGACCTGAAATGTCAGATGGTTCAAGTTAAATAACATCCTTGAAAGTAACTCAAATAGCACTGAAATAAGAAAATAACAATGATTGAACCAAGTGTACAAATTTCACAAACCTTGAGGGTGCTAAGATTACTTGGTTTAGTCACATTTATGATATTACCGTGTTCATCAATTTCCCTACCAAGTGCATCAACACGTAGAACAGGTGCCTTGGTTGGTTTCTGAGGAACTGGAACATCTACTTGCACCTGTCCAGGAAACATGTTTATTAGAGGAGCAAACTGAGGATCCTGGCGAAATCCCATCTTAGCAGCCAGCTCTTGAGCACGCTTAACAGCTTCTAAATTGGGTATTGATGCAAGGCCCGGAACAGCAGCCATGCCGGTAGTAGATGGCATTGAAGAAGCAACAGGTGCAGAGGTAGTAGGGGCTGATGAGACTTGTCCCTGAACTTTTCCAGTAGTAACTACTGAACTCGAGCTAGGGCCTTTGTTCAACTACACGTGACAATACCAATTCAACATGAATATTTTTAATTTAGAACTGGGGAATTTTTTCCTTTTTGAAAAGAAAGATTAACTTACGGCAGGTATCTTCTTCATTTTCTCGGCTAATTCTTTCTGCATTTGTAAAGCCTTTTTTGCTTTGGCTAAGGCATCAAGAGAGAAATTTGCACCACTTTTCCCAGTAGATGAAGAGACATCTGTACTAGATCCAGGAACCTCATGAGATCCGGTAACACTATATGCTTTATTTTCAGCAGTAGAAATTGAAGATACCTTGGTAGGAGGAGGGTGACCAGTCTTTGGTAATGATGCCTGAGCAGCACCCTTCAGGCATAAAAAAAAGTAAATTACATCAGCATACAAACTTATGATTTCGGCAATATGATATAACTTTTGATCAATTTTAAACTAGCATAATTTCAACATAACTCCATTGAAATCAGATGTCATCCTACACTTCAGTTCAAATAGTATGGTTCATTAATATACATTTCATATCTCATACTTATCATGTGATGTTAGCTAATATCTAAATTAATGCTTACGTTAGTATGTATATAGTAAAAAAAATGGTGAAACATTAATAATAGGACAAGAGTTGGAGCACTATAGAATAAAGTCATATATAATATTATGAACTTCTATTTACTACAAGTGTCAAATTAGCCGCAAATGAAAGAAGGCAGCAACTATGACTCCACCACCCATAAACCGATGAAACTGGCAGTCCAAGGAAAGAACTAGGAAAAAGAAATTCTGATAAACATGGTCAAAAACTTATATAATAAGTACCAAGCACCAACTCAACAGAATGTATACCATAATGCAACAGTCAACTCATAGTGGGAGTAGACATTTGAAAGAAATGCAATTATCAAGGAAATTTGATGTCCAAATCAGTGCATTTAAATTGCACCACAACATGACTTTACAGCCACTATTTTTCGGTTTTAGATCTCTGTTTCACTAGTGAAATTCACAGCCAACATTTATCACAATCGACTGAAGCAGCATTTATTAGGACATCTCATAGGCAACATCCATTTAAATCCCAGAAAACAACATAAAATCAATGACACAAGAAAAAACTTCC